ATATATAAAAAGTTAAGATTGTTCTAAGAGAGAAGGGTAGTCAAATAAACCTTTAAATGTGAGGTGCTCCTTTTTTCCAAAGTGAATGCCATAAATATCATTGTTCATCAAACAATGAGTACTACACTGAGACAACACAAAAAGCCTACTGTTGTAAACTGTTTATGAGGTATATATGCAAGTCTAAATACAATTGCTAGTCCAAAATACAGTAGATCCATTGCATCAAAGAGAGAAGGGTAGTCAAAATTCAGCAATGGATGGGTTTACTCTAGCAGGGACTAGCAATTGATTCTAGGCCAGATTTCATTTCCATACAGGTGTCTAAGAAACAAGCTACCCAGCTAACAAACACATTAATTCCAATTTGTCCTGATTTAAGGAATTTACACGTCAAATTGTCTTCCATGTTGGCTCAGCTCCAGAAGTGGGGAGAAAGACTGAAAATAACTTCAATAGTAACCTCAACAGAGCATTGCCACAACCCACAGCCCCAACTTTAGAAATAATTTTCTACTATTTCTTTCAATGTTTTCAGTGATTAATAAGGTATTTAGTTATCATTATTACTATCATTATTCTGTAGCAGTACTGTCACTTGTCACTCAAGTATCATCAGTCAAAAAAAGTCTAAGGGATCATTTAAACATTGTGAAGAATCACAAAGTAGCATTAGATAATACATAACATTTTGGAGTTTCTACTCCTTCAATAGCACTCACAAGGGAGGGAACATTTGCACACATCAAAAACCTCTTTGCAAAAGAAGGCTGCCTTGGGGAAACTTCATTTTCTCTTTAAATAATTTTTCCCTTATTTGGACAAGTGTGTGTGTGTATTTCACAATAAAGGTGGGCATTCAAACAATTTCCACTGCCATGTAGAAGTGACATAGTATCAGAGGAGCTATACCATTAATTTTTAAAAAAATATATAGCATAATTCTAACTTGCCTTATTGTCCCAGGCACATAAACTGTAGACACAATTACTACAAAATTTCTCTTAAATTATTCTTTTAAAAAAATGTCCAGAAAAATTTTCAGGGGAGCTGTGATAGTCCTTTGAGGAGGTAAAAGAGAACTTTCTGGCATCTTACAAACTAGTAAGGTTTACTTTTATGGCCTACAACCCATGTCATAAGATGCATATGAAGCGGTATGCTGCAGCCAACAAAAGCTTATGCCAAATAGAATTTTTTTTCTCTTTAATGTGCCACAGAGCTTTGTTGTTGTTTTTTTTAAAATAATAATAATAATGTACATTGACTCAGTTAATTGCTGTGAAATACAAAAACAAATACCCAGTGACAGGTTTTCATTTTAAAAATCAAAAACACCATGACTTAGTCACAATTAATTGAGCACATTTAGTTCCTGTTGAATTTGATGGGCAATATTAAGCACAGGGTTAACTCCTCCATTGAATGTGAGAGGACTTTACAGTTGAGAGATTGGCCTGCCTTGTGTCTAGAATAACAAGAAATAGACATTAAATATACCAGTTACAGAACAGTAACATTTTTGTACTATAGTCTCAGAAAAATGGAATACACTCTCAGAAAAAATATAAAAATACAAACTGTTCATAACAGCATCACTTGACCTCAAAAGGCAGATTTACTCAAATGGTTGGTAACTTATTCATATGCTAATTAGTTCAACTCAGATGAGATTTCTTCATAGGCATTTCTTACACAGATTGAAAGGATTATTGTGGAATGAATCAAACAAAAGGGAGGTTTCAAACATTCAGGTTGTGCCGTGATGTTTGCAACCTCCTAATATGGAGGACAGAACCAAGTGAACAGTGAAAACAAGCAGCTGCACATAATCCATGTCTTCTTTTCCTTCCTTGTAGCCCCTTATGATTTTGGTGAGCTTAAGACTTGACTATCTCTATGGCAAAGATCCTACATCATGAAGACAGTATAAAGTTTATGCTTACAAAATCACTCAACAGTTGCACAAAGCCAACTCACCAGCAATTTGTGGTGTTATGCAACCAACTGTACAACCAAATGTCATGCCTAGCTATATGTGCAATGCACAATGTGTGACCATGCACAATAACATCCGTGTGCAATGCACATGTGCATTCATGAGCAACTTTCTTGTTCCAATAGCTCCACTGGCTGTTGGTTCATTTCTGTGCACAATTAAAAGTACTGATTTAAAGCTCTTTACATCTCCATTCTAGGTTAACTGAAGAATTTTTTTTCTTTTTAACAGGCATGCTTTTAACTACTTTTACTATTATTGATAGTTTAATTTATATTTTTAACTTCTTTATGATGTGAACTTTTGTAGCTGTATTTGCTTTAACCTTTGTAAGCTGCCTTGAGACACAAGACTGTGGACAAGGCAGGATATGAATAAATGTAATAGTGAGTAACAGTAATTGTCCCTAGTGCACACACTTGCCCAATAAATAATTGTGTGCAATGCACAACAGGCACAATTATGTTTTGCAACATACAACTGAATGTGACCATTCCACATCAAGCCAAAATGTCTAATCACTTCCAGATGGGTCCTTATGCATATATAAGACACCCATCAGGACTCCAGCGTGTCTAGTTGACAGCAGAGTGCTTAAAGTGCTTAAAAGTAGCCTATGTTAGGAAATATCTTTTACATCATCTAGAGGGCTAAAAAATTAAATAGAACCCATTTAACTCTATAATAGGGTTAGAACTTCCTGAAAAAGATCTAGTAAATGCACTAGAAAACATCAAGATTACTTGTGTGTTATAATAGGGCAGTGATCTTCTTTTCTTCATATTTAAAAAAACCTGATTATTTGCAAAGTGTCTTGCAGTGATAAGTCTATAACTCTAAGCCCCAGAAATTGAGATGACATTACAATATAGGTATCTAAATGCATCTGAAATCTTAAATTTCATGAAATTAAAAGGAAGTTTAGTGTGTCATGGGCTTGGATGCTGAAAGACATGAACATAATGTAGGTATCCACAGAAAGAAAAATGATTTGCAATATTTTTCTGAATAACAGTTGATCCTAGAAGATCAGGTTTCTCCACACTATAAAATAGCAATACAAACAATTAGGTTTTTGCTCATTTTTTATTACTAGGTACAGTTGTCAACTTTCCCTGTCACACTCCTGTATCGTTCAAACCTTTATATTAAGTTCAGATTCACTGACAATATAGAATATGGGAATGACAACAGTATGAAACAACATTTTGCCTTTTTTTATCTGCTGCATTATATCAGAAGAGAACTGATTCCATATTTAATCCTAATATCCTTCCCATTTTCCTTATATTACATTGCTCTACATTTTATGATGTTAAATTTAATCTATAATCTTTGTACTAGTGGGGGGGGG